TAGTTTCCCTCTCCAATAGCAGTGTCAGAGGGAGGAGCAAATCGCGACTCGCTGGGTCCCTAGTGAAGTGGCACCACCCACCTGAGAACTAATCCAGCAAAGCACTCCAAAACTGCCAATGCAGAACTGAACAACCGGACCATAGAATTAGCCCTTGTTTCTCCGAGAAGTTGGTACCACTTCGCAACAAATTAGTTGTTCAAATACTGGGTAGTGAATCGGAAAATTTCGATAATTAGTTTTTTTTTCGCCGACATTTAATACAGCGGCGGACCGCAAACATTCGATGCAGAGTGCTTCAGTAGAACTTTTCAATTTTAGGGTGTAACTAAACACGCGGTTAAGTGAACTCCGATCGGTACCACTAGCAACATGTTCCAATCGGAAAACGATAAGCGCCGACGTCAGCCAGGCAGCAAACTGCAGACGTGCAGCGCAAGCCGCGTCGCCGTAGCCCGTCGGGAAGAGGGCGCAGCACATGCGCGACTACGAGGTGCGCGCCGCGGGGCGTTGGGCGCCCCGCAGTCGCAGAGCGGCGCCTCTCATCGCGGCGTTCGTGGGCGCAGGGAGCATTCCGGGTCGGCATCTCATTATCTGGCGTGCGGACAAGCGCGCCGGCGCCTTTGTGCGTGTCGCCGCGCGCGCGACTAGCTAGTAGCAGCGGATCTCGTCGTGCAGGGGTTCAAGGAGCACGTTCCACCGTTACCCGTTAGGCTGCCGCGCGGGTCCCTCGTTCAAATTAGTTACCTCATGGGTCCACCTGTCAGTAACTGCAAACCGGGGAGAAGTTCGTCGATTGGTTGAACCAGCCGACCAGAAACCAGTCACTTCCATGGAGACATATGTGCGCTCTGACGTCATCGTGTAATCCTAAACGGTTTCCCTTTTTTTTTTTTGTCCCTAAAATCTAGTAAAAGCTAATCTAGTCTGGTAATAATCCTATAAGCTTCTTGTGGGTCTTGGCATGTTGCTCCTGTTGATATGTACAGTGTGAATGTGTGATGTAAGTACAGATATGCACGCAAATTTGGCGGACAAGGACTCTATTTCGATGGCACCAGCACAGCCTATGTTTTTTTTTCTCTATATCTATGGTACAGATAGTACAAGTCGGTCATACCCCTAAGTTCGGCTGTCATTGCCGTTGCCTAAACCTGCAAATGGGACGGTTCGGTTCGCTCCGGGAGCATGTTATAGTATTTTTCTCTTACAACAAATCAGCACCAGCCGAACTTATCAGCCCAGAAACTAATCAACAAGAATGCTCCTAATCGTAACCCCCCGCTCCGTTTATGACAAAAGTGGGTCGAGGGTCGAACCTTCTCCATTAGCATCGTTGCCCCGCATGAACCGTGGATAACCGTGGGTTGCACCTCGCAGACAGTTACGCTAGACAGCGGACGACGCGGTGGCGGCAGACTGGATCCTCAGGCTGGAGTCGGATCGCTGCTGGTGAGGGGTCACCACCACCCGCTAGATATGGCCTTGCACTCAGTGGCGGATGCAGAACAGGATTGAAGGAGCGATGGTCTCTTCTTCTTCCTCTCTCTCAATTTTTCTTCTTTCCTCCACCTCTTCTTCTCCCTCACCCTCCTCATATTTTCATTGATACAATAGCTGTAGGCCCCCCTTTAGATCCGCCCTTGCTTGCACTTGCAGCGCGCCGATGTACCGCTGATGGAGTAGAAGAGCCCGGAGGCAGCCGTACGTGAACCGGGTGCCGTCGCCGTCCGTGAACTGGCACGCCGGGATCGCCGCGCGCTCCTCAGTGCTCATAGACTCAGTTCAGCTGGTGCCATAAAATCACTGTTCACGCCTGAAAACACTGTTCATAGCTGATTTTCTCTCACAAATTTCTCCAAATTCCTCCCAGCGAACGGGGCCATAATCGCCCAATCTGAACGGAAGCTATACGGAAGTATCTCTGTCCGTCAAGAACTAGCAGGGCCGGATTCCTAGCAGCTAGGAGAAGGACGTCGTAGGAGGCTGCCAAGAGTACAGCGATAGATTGAAGGGCTAAAGCAGAACTAGATCAAAATTGATGGAGGAAAGGCTGCTTCTAACGGGGTGAAATGGATATGCAGGGCGGCAGCGACCTGGCTTGGCCAAGCGGAGGGGGCGACGGCGATGGGGAGCAGTGAGCGATAGGATCGAGTCGACCCTAGGGTCGATGGGTCACAAACGGTTTGTTCGTTTGGCTGTGAACTTAAATAGAACGATTGTAAATTTCAAAAGAACGATATTTTTCTCTCACACAAACCAAACCAAAGAAGATGATTCTTCACAATCCTAGCAACGAAAACGAATCCACCAACCGAACAGGCTATAATCACACCTGTTCCCTTGAGGGTCGACCCGCATCGATCCGTTGCTAGATTTCAGGGGCGGATCGTATTCACGGACGGGTCGAACCGAACCCCTTGCAGGTTGACCGTTGCCTAAAAAATTCTCCTAGATTTCAAACATCTAAAATTTGGAAGGCACGAGGAAAATATTTTATTGAACTCTAATTTGAAGGTAAATACCTGACCATTTATATAGGCAACATATCATGTGCAAACCAATCAACTTGTGCAAACTTGGAAACTACCAATCAGGACCACTGAATGCTGATTCAATGGATGGGGTGAGGGGGCTTAAGTGCAAAAAAAGGACAGCGGGTGGGGGGCTTAAGCGCAAAAAAAATTCCACCTCTCACCCCATTCATTGAATCAGCATCTAATGGTCCTAATTGGTAGTTTTCAAGTTTGCACATGTTAGTTGGTTTGCACCTGATACGTTGCCACTTATATATGTTGACTTATATTTGTGGTTTGAGGTTAGTTTTAGTTTGGACCCTTCATATCAACTAAGATTCTCCGTCCACGGCCATGGTACCACTTAGGCTTTAGTTCCATCCTAACCCACTCAAATGGACATGAATTGAGGTAGATATAAGTGCATTCAAACAAACCATTGATTGATAGATGGTGTTGTGGATCCAAATGGATAACGAGTCAACTGTGCTTTTTTGAGTTTTTTTTCAAAATTGACATAATCTTATTTATCATTGTCTCCAAGATTGTTTGAGACCTAACTTAGAACTAAGTTTAACAGGCCGAGCCGAAGTCGAAATCCATTCAAAATCAAGTCAAAATTATTTTATGAGATAAAGAGAAACGAGTTCAATTGAAGCAAGTTTTGAAATGAGCCACAGGTCAGCTCAACGAGCTTTTTGTCAAGCCCTAGCTGTTGAGCACCCCGTATTATATTTTCTAAAACTTTCCAATCAAATGCTATACTAAATATCATATGCCAATGTTCTAATTAACTTATGAGAATTGCTATTTGTCTGTCAACATATCTTTTAGGAAAACCTGTCAGATTCTTACCCGTTGGATGCAAGATCGACAACAGATCTTGTCCCATGTAGGTGAAGGAGAAGTTCAGTGTGTCTCTATGCCGAATCGTGTGGTGAGAAATTTGACAGTTTTTTTGGGAAGAAATCTGGTGACAATTAAATAGCAATTCCGATATTTAATTTTAGCAATTGAACAATCCTTTAATTCTGGCAGTCAAACACACGTAACTTAGCCTCCGATGGCTCTAATACGTCAGAAACAAGCTGAAATCGGCTGCGTGTGCATGATGGGGGGTGGTATCTGCAATAGAGTTCAGTAGGTATATATGTGGGCATTTGCAGCAATACGAATTATGGAGGGATCTCAAACTCCAAGTGACATATCGGGTGTCTTTTGCAACATTTCCCAACGCCAAAACATCTAGCCTGATTTTCACAAAAGCATGTGGAAAGCTTGGTCTGTTGTTTATCTTTTGTCTAAGACAAAGAGGAAGTACAACTCCTAACCAAAATCAATAGTTTTAGACTATCTTCAACAACATCACCCAAAATACAAGACTTATTCTAGGTTTGGATAGCGCTACAGGTAAATAGTTCAATACCTTTTTTTCTTCTTCTTTAACAACAGGGCCTAAAAGAAAACCCTTTCTGCAAATAAATTTTCAGGAGAGAGAATACTCATATTTAGGTTGTGTCTTTGCTGTAACTCAAAATAGGTCTCGTATATAGATACTTTATTAGAGGCTGATACAAACCCATTTTAGATTTTTGTGCCTATGGGTGATCTATTGGAGACATACTTGCGGCCGGCCGTGTGGATATTCTTCGACTGAACACATCATGATACTTGCGGCCGGCCGTGTGGATATTCTTCGACTGAACACATCATGCCTAGCCTATGTTCATTATGGTTGCGATTGGTTTGGTAGCTTGGCTCGTACCTCGGATGGGAGCCAGGATCCCGCTGGCCAGATTCCGCGTGTGCAAGACCAATTTGTTTGGTTATTACACGTTTGCATCCATCCTGACCGAACACAAAGGGTTTTTGGCCGCTCTGCTTCCTCCCCTGCTCGTTCCGTGCACGCGCCAAAGGGTTTTTGGCCGTGCACCTTGCATCGCCAGAGCTTGGTCCTGAAGAAACGCCCAATTTTTATGCATCCCGGCGAGGACCAGGAGGCAGGCCAGCCAACGCCTTTTGCATCCAGCCATCCCATTCTGCTAGTTCGCAGCTTCTCATGGTTCATATATGACATGGACCATGCTTGCCAATAGGGATAATGTTTTTTTTTCTCCAATACGATAAAAGATTTATGTATTATTGTAATTAAAAAAAATAGTTTAAGTATATAAACGACACGTTTCTGATGAACGTCCTAGCAGCTAGCAGGTGTTACAATTGTGGCCGGACCGTCCTACCATACTGTCACGGAGACAGCAGGCACATTACATGCATGCCGAAATAAATCCAAATCTTTCGTAGAACTCAGCCACTCAGGCGCTCAATTATCATCACCATGTATACCAAACTCGTTACATACATGAGCACCACAGCATCTGCATCTCGTTGGCAAAATGATGCCAATTTATGCATTGGCATGTACGTAGCTTTTCAAACAGTACTCTGAATGATCACACTGGAGTCGCTGCCGCTCTCACTCGGTCACTCCTCGCCGAAGACGGCCTCCCAGACGTCCTCGAAGGCAGCAAGGATGGCCGGGTGGTGGCGCGGCGAGTTGAGCGAGAGGTACGACCCCAGGAGCTCTTCCATCTTCGCCACGCTGCCGATGCGCCGCTCCACCACCATCTCCACCATCGAACTACGGAAGTCCAAGTAGGGGTTGCTCGAACGCTTCACCACTGCCATGCCCGCACCGCCGGCGGTCGTCTCCTCCACGGCCGTGCCGCCCATCATCAGCTTCCCGACGTTGAGACCCTTCTCTTCCTTGTTCCTCTCGTTGTTGCATTCCCTGTGCTGCTTCTTCGTCTCCACGGACACCACCAGAGGCCGGAAAGCGTCGGGCGGTGCCGGGTCGCTGGTCCTTGACAGCGCACGCCGTGGCGCGCGGCGACGACGACTGCGACTAGCCATCGTGTTCCTGTGACTCCGCCTGCTGGTGTTGCCGCCGCCGCCGTTAGTGTGGTAGAACTCGGACGTGGAGTCGGACGAGAAGCTGAGGGACGAGAAGAGCGTCCTCGTCTCAGCCTCATCGCCGCCCTCCTCGTCGCTGCCGCTGCCGCTGCCGCTGAACGGCGCGAGCTCGTCGTCCGTCGCGGTGGAGGACGAAGACGACGACCAGCTGTACGGCGTGGGCGTGCTGCTGGGCCGCCGCGCGCGGCCCCAGGAGGAGGACGATGACGAGCAGTGCCGCCTCGACGCCGAAGGAGACCACGCCGGCGGCTTCCTCCCGCCCTTGCTTTGCTTCTTGACTACGTCCCTCGCCGGCACCGACAACAGGTGCTGCAGAAGCGGCACGTCGGAGTGGACGGAGCGGCGGCCGGAGACGGCCCCGGCCCCGCCCGTGCAGTCCACGGAGATGTGTATGAGCGACGCGCTGCGGCTGCGGCGGCGGGGGCGGGTGCCGCCGTCGACGGCCTTGGGCCGCTCGTAGGTGCAGGGCGTGCAGAAGTACGGGGAGGGCGGTGCTTCCGGTTCCCGCGGGTGGGAGGAGTCGGTGTTGGCGTTGGTGTTGGTCTTGGCGAGGCTGACGAATGCCGTGCCGCCGCCCGAGCCGGCGGCGGCAGTGGCTGACGTGGCGTTGGTGGTGCAGGTGGAGCGCGTGAGGATCCGCGCCAGCCGCTGCTTCAGCCGGCCGCCGGCGCTCTCCCGGCGGTGGGGGCTCTTGTCCATGAAGGGCGTGTGCATTGTGGCTTCAGTGGGAGGAATGTGGTGGATTGATGTGAATGAAGTGGAGAGACGTGTGTCTTGTCTTTGGTTTTGGTGTGGTGTACCTCACACTGACGATGACTCACCTCGCAGCTTCGTGGTTCCCTTAATAAGCGAGTGTGAAGTGAGCAAGAAGAAGAATGTGCCGAGATTTCTTAGCCACGTGTTGTATGCTAGGGTACGTACGTAGGGGATGGTGTACACGGACACGGGCTTAAAAGTACATGGCGGTGGATGGTAGAATACTTGTGCGAGTCCAAAGCAAGTTGCAAACGCAACAGGCTGTGCACATCTCGTGTGCAGCAGCACAGCAATGCATAATAATACTTCATGCACGGTCATGTTAGGTGAGCGAGTCCACAGCGGAACGCGGGGATATGCATGCAAGGACATTGATCACGGAGCACTGCGCCGCCGCGTATGTCGGTGCAGAGAACAATCACAACCCAACGAGGAGGGCGGTACGGTACGGTGCGGTGCCGCCGGGTGTCAGGACCAGGACCCAGGCGCAGGCCGGCCTGGTCGAGCGGTCCTCCCGCCGCTGGCCTGCTGGCTGCTGCGACGTGCCGTGTCGGCCGGGGTGGTGGCCCCGTTGACCACTCTGCTCTCGCGCCGGGCGGTCGTCGTGGTCATGGCAGCGGCAGTGGAAGAAATGAGCGCGCAGGTTCGTCGTGCCTCTGAGCTGCCTCTGCCCAACGCCGTCATTTGCATTCCTGCCATGCCATTTTTCGGCGTCTCTCGTTACTCTTCAAGAGCCCTGCTGAGCGCTGCGAGCACACGGGTCATTCTCTCCCTGACCCTGATTGATGTGCCACCAACACGGTGCACGGCACTCACCTTCTGACCTCGCTCAATGTGTCTTTGTTATCGAAGCGAGCGCACGGCACCAAACACAAACGGACATTCTCCCATCTAGGCACGCCTACCTAGCAGGAGTATTTGTTCGTCCGTCCATCAACCGTAGTCCCTCGCTCTGATTTCAAACAAAGGCACGGAGTTTTACCAAGGATCAACAAACAAAACCCAACGGCCTAATTTCGCTCCAACCTTCCCTCCGCCAACAGAGTTTGTAAGCACATGATTAGGAGGCAGCGGAATGTTTCATGATGCTCCCGATGCGGCTGAGTTACAGAATCGTATGCGCTCGTGTCCCGCTCAATGACTTCTCGCGGTAACACGCCAAAAGGTTAGGCGTGTACTCATACTACATGTAAGGGTTATTTGATCAGTACCATTACAATTCTCAGAACTTTGAGATGTACCATTAAAATTCACCTATTTTGAGATTTACCATTATAATTTAACATTTCACTGAGTTTTGCCATTTTATACGTCTTCCAGCTGCTTGGGCCCACTGGCAGGCGTATGCGTACTGTTCGCTTTTTTCTGTATGGATGTATTTGCCCCCGTCCTGAAGTTGAAAGAGCCCTACGCTCGTGGCCCCATCTCTCAGTCTGTCCTTCCTTCTCGCGCTCACTCTGTCTCTCACTCTCTCGTCCCCCCGACGCGGCGACGGCGGCGGAACCCTAACCCTAGCCGCCGGCGTCCTGGAGCCTGCGCCCGTGCCCGAGTCAACTGCCGTCGCCGCCCAACTCCACTGCTGCCCGCGCCCGAGCTGTCCTCCCGGATCCCGGACGATTGGAGCCTCTCCAGCGACCTCACGATGGTGTTCCATTGAGCGCAATGGTTGACCCCGCGGATATGGAGCATGGCGAGGAGAGGTATGGATCTTCGAGCTTCAATCTCTTGAGTCTGAGTAGCGATGCGAGTAGGTCGAGGAATTTGCGTTGACCCTAGTGTATTTTTTTGCGGCTTGTTTGTTTGCTGCTAGGGTTTGGTTGTTCTCCTTAGAGATTAAAGTTGAAGGTTTCTGTACTACATACAGTAATGGTAGGAAAGCTTACACGAAGGGTAATGTGATTAAATGGGATGTGGAGGTAGGATCGTTCACTTTTGAGTTTCTGATGCAAAGCTTGACCAATCAGTTCAAATGGTCCCCTACCCAGAGTCCTTGTGTGTGGTTCTTTGACAAAAGGATGTGTGAAGACGTCAGACTAGTTAATGACTTCCAGCAGAATGATGTGTTTGAAACGTATAAGGATCAGATACATTGCCAAGTTGTTGTAGGAGTTTTTCAAAGGAAAGTTGCAGATGTTGATGAGTTTGCTACCCTAGAGCCTCTTTGTGTGATTCCTCCTGTTGAGCATGAGAATCCTATTCCAGATCCCAATAGGCATGAGAATCCTATTCCAGATCCTGCTGAGCAACATAATCCTCCTGTTAGCTCTGCTACCAAGCCTACTGCTGAGCTAGATGAAGGACCAGAGTATCCTTTAGAGCCTGAACTAGAGCCTGACAGGGAGCCATACATGTTTGATAATGAGGAGTATATGGGTGTCGATGATGAGGGAATGTACATGCAAGTACCTCTTCATCAGTACACTAACAATGCACAGGCTACTAACAGTTCTCACCCACAACCATGTGCTAATGCTGATGCAAATGATTCTGGTGCTGCTGAAGGAGGTGTTCCTCTTGAGGCAGAGATTGACGATGCAGATCCACGGGAGGTCCATGTGATTCATGATCCAGAAAACCCCAAGATTGTGAAAGGATGGCTCTTTCCTGATATTGTTGCATTCAGGAAGGCAATTAGACATCATGCAGTGAAGACAGGCTTTGAGTTTGCTGATCTGCAAACTGACCAGACTAGATTTATTGCCAATTGTAAAGCAGAGGGATGTCCTTGACGTATACATGCTTCTAGAAATTCTTATGGCAAGACAGTAGAGGTAAATTTGTCATTACTGTTGGAGTTGTTTGTTTATTAAATTTGTTATTTATGCAACTAATGTCCTATTGTATTTGTTTGTGCAGATCAAAAGGCTACCTTTTGAACACAACTGTCATACCACAAAACTTAGAGAAGGGAAGATGGCCACCCAAGGTTGGTGTGCAGATAGGTTAGTAGACTGACCGAAGAAAAATCCAACCAAAGGTGCAACTAACTGGAGGGATAAATTAGAGAATGACTATGGCATTAAGTTGAAATACTCCAAGGTCATGTTAGGTGAGCGTGTCCAGTGGCCTGGCTCCCTGGCCACAGCGGAACGCGGGGATATGCATGCATGCATGCATGGACATTGATCACGGAGCACTGCGCCGCCACGTCGGTCGGTGCAGAGAACAATCACAACCCAACGAGGAGGGCGGTACGGTGCGGTGCCGCCGGGTGTCAGGACCAGGACCCAGGCCGGCCTGGTCGAGCGGTCCTCCCGCCGCTGGCCTGCTGGCTGCTGCGACGTGCCGTGTCGGCCGGGGTGGTGGCCCCGTTGACCACTCTGCTCTCGCGCCGGGCGGTCGTCGTGGTCATGGCAGCGGCAGTGGAAGAAATGAGCGCGCAGGTTCGTCGTGCCTCTGAGCTGCCTCTGCCCAACGCCGTCATTTGCATTCCCACCATGCCATTTTTCGGCGTCTCTCGTTACTCTTCAAGAGCCCTGCTGAGCGCTGCGAGCACACGGGTCATTCTCTCCCTGACCCTGATTGATGTGCCACCAACACGGTGCACGGCACTCACCTTCTGACCTCGCTCAATGTGTCTTTGTTATCGAAGCGAGCGCACGGCACCAAACACAAACGGACATTCTCCCATCTAGGCACGCCTACCTAGCAGGAGTATTTGTTCGTCCGTCCATCAACCGTAGTCCCTCGCTCTGATTTCAAACAAAGGCACGGAGTTTTACCAAGGATCAACAAACAAAACCCAACGGCCTAGTTTCGCTCCAACCTTCCTTCCGCCAACAGAGTTTGTAAGCACATGATTAGGAGGCAGCGGAATGTTTCATGATGCTCCCGATGCGGCTGCGTTACAGAATCGTATGCGCTCGTGTCCCGCTCAATGACTTCTCGCGGTAACACGCCAAAAGGTTAGGCGTGTACTCCTACTACATGTAAATCCATATCCATGCGAATACAAGGCTAAATCCATGGGGGCAGGACGCTTACACCAGGAAAGAAACAGGTAAGTAGCTAGGCCTGCATGCAGTGGCTCTTGAGTCTTGACCCCGGCCCAATCGTCGCCTGCGACAGAAAATAAGAAAGTCTTGGTTGGATTCAAATGCATGTGGACTTGAGAGTGGAGATGATGCGTCAATGGCCAAGAACAAAGGGACAGGGCAGAGCAAGGCACATGAATTTGCCCTGCTGCTTGCAGGAGGAACGAAAGCACGGCATGTGTGATAAGAAGAAAAATAACTGCTAAGTATATGGCATGATGCACGGGTTGGTGGTGGTGAGAGGAAGACCTCCGGGATTAGCCCTGATTTTATTATGGGGAAGAATGGAGAGCCCTTTGTTGGTTTCTCAGTTGTCTCGTTATGTCACAGGCTCAACTTAGGTGCGGTGGATGGTGGTGGTGGGAGAGATGCCCTCCGTCCCGGAGCAAGGAGCATCTACCCTGCAACCACCAACCCATATCCATGGGCATGGACTAATTTCAACTTGCCATCACGCTGTGTTCGACTTCCCTGACATGTGCATGTGAGCACACCGAAACAGCTACAAAGAAAGAAGCGAACACATCCACAGTGTCCGCTCCTAAAAGGGCTCAATTCAAGCTGTGGGGGCAAGTGCAGTTTCTACAAGTTCGTACGTAGTAGCTACCTCTGCCGCCCTCTGGTAGGAGCATGTAACGACTGTGCGTGACGCTGCCATGCTGCGCTGATATCTGCCTAGCTAGCTAGCTAGCTAGCTAGCTAGCTGCTCCTTGGACTGTGGTTCGCTACAAATGCAGCCATGCGGGGTGTGGCATGGCATGGCACCGTAAAATGGATTTTTAACATATTTTTTAAACTAATTTTAAAACTAACACGGTTTATTTTTTTTTAAATCTAACGCTTTTGGCCGCGCCTATTCGCACGACGCGGCGAATTAACGTTGCCGCGTCATGCATGGGGGCGCGGCGAGGTTGCCTACGTGGT